AATAGAATCTTAAATACACTCTTGCCATCACTTCTATTTTTTTTTTCAATGCTCATATTTATAAAGATACTTCCTCCTCATAGAATTAGTTTTGGAGTCCCTCTGAGTAAATTATTTAAAAGGGGTATATTTCTTTTTAGGTTTATGTCTTTCTTTTTCTTCCAGAGGGTGATATACACAATATTCCATTCTCCAGATTTTTTTTTCCACCGGAACCTCATGTGTCTTACTGAGCATGAGCTTCATAGTCCTAGGACTTCCTACTCTTAGGAAAATATACCCCAAACTTTCAAGACTTAATCTTATCCCCTTAGCCTGTACAAATGGTTATCCAAGTTTGTATTCATAGGGATATCCAGATTTCCAGCCCAGTATTAAATGTACTACTTTGTAGAGTATATACAAAGGAGCAGTGAGGTAGTCTTGAAGATGGTATGCAACAATTACCTATTGTTGTGAAAACATCAGCTTGTCACAGAAAAACAGGAAAGAATGATAAAATTACCACACATGAACTCATTCTGTTGTGAGAGGGAGAAAGAGGGAAAAACTTGGCCTGGCTTTCCCATTTCTGTTATTATATCCTACACAATAGCCTACTTTGATCTAATTCAAATGTTCAATCTGTTCAAAAATTGAATTAATTTGATTTAAAATTTTAAATCTATACAAAAAATGTATAGATCCATACTTTCAACTGTCCTAAATGTTATCTATTTGGTTCATTATTAATTTGTCAGAATTTTTATGTTGACTCAAGGTATAAGAATCTCCATTTTATTTCCTCATTAGCCCTGGGCTGAGTACAAGTGAATTTATAGACTGACAGTTCAACCACTACCTACATAGGTGAAAAAATACATTTGCACATATATAAAAACCTGTGAATTTTTCAGACTGCATCAGAATTGATTGAGTATTCAATTCTGAACATTTGAATCTATCAAATCACTTTTGAATCAAATCTCCAAATCAAGTATCAACACAGTTCTATTACTTTGTGTATTTATTTCAATGTATCCTCTGTATCCAAAGCTGCAAGATACATATGTTTTAATAAAAAGCTTAATGCAGAAATCAGGGTCTCATTGAAAACAGCTGTTTTTTAAAAAAAAACAAATTTTATTAATTTTATTAATTTTCAAAGAGAGTACACAAACAAAACATAAGACATAAGAACATAAAACATCTTTTCTAACAACTACTTAACAGTACAAATAAGACATCTCACAGCTGTTTTTAAGTCTGACTTCAGTGATGCAACTATGCACACAGTAAAATATTTTACTCTACAACAAATAGAACTGAAGTGTCTTAATTTTATCATGTTTCTTAAGTGAATCACAAAATATGCAGTTTATTTCGTTTCATTAAGCAACTTTATTAACAATATAACTTATTCAGAAGTGAATGTACATTGATGTCTAACCTGTTGATTAATTAGGTGACTTATTTTTAATCTCCAGATATAAGTCAAATATGATTATTATACTTAATGTATGTCTTCTCTTTTTCTTAATAGCAGCCACAGAATTCAAACTGATATATGCATATTTAGAATTAATTTTCTTACATATATAACTCCACATACAAATCAAGTTTACACCCTCTACAAACTAGGCAGCTGCTTACTTTTGAATATGCTGTTAGTCCCAAATTACCTGCCAGTACCCTTTGCTCTGCACTGATACAATCTCACACAGGGTAATTGCTAAAGCTGCTACCACTAGTGTTTTGAAAGTGCATTTCACAATTACAGAGTTTTGTTTTTAAAGTAAAGTTTTATTTTAAAAAGCTGTCAGGATTTTCAATTCTAATGTCAGCCCTTGGGAGGTTATTCTGTAATGGTGACAGGTGAGAAAAGCACAGCAGTGAGAAAAACTTATTTCTCTGTAAAGTGGAATAAAAATGGAAATATTTGAACAGTGCATTTCATTTTCTTAGAATGATGATACAATGTACAGATAACACCACATGATTACCAAGGCTTTTACTATATTCATATTCACAGTCTTCCCAGGTAGATTAATTTTAGTATCAACAGAAGTAGATTCACAACTAAATTATTTTTTCCATTAATGTTCCTTACTTACTCAGATGTTTGAATGTGGGAATGGATACTACTTTTGAGTTTTAAGAAAGTTGGTGGATGAAAGAACAGGCTAGGTGATTATTTACAGTATTCTTTATGCTGCCAAAAAATATTTCCGTGAAACAATTTGTATAATCCAAGAACTGTATTACAGGTGTCCAGGCCTAAAGCATAAAAAGAACTGTACAGCACTTTGACATCTCTCTGACTCACCCTGGGGCATTTTTTATGCACAAGTCACAATGCAATTAAGGGAAATGAAGGCAAAGAACAATGGTGGGCTTTGTACTAGGAAAAATAATTTGCAGTTTATATTAAAAAAAAATCTTGGAAGGATTATGTGGAAATAAATGCAGTTGGTTTTCAGTACTATAAGCTGTATCACAATCATGCAATCATTACTTAGTAGAATGACCCCACTTCTCAAATCTCATGCAGCTAAGTTTGGATTCCACCTAGTATTTGCAACAGAACAAATTTCTGTGATGTCTCATACTGTTTCTCTCATCCTGCCAATTTCTGTTGTACTGAATTTTAAAACTATTTTTGCAATGCTTAGTAGTTTTGAATGTGGACATTTGTCTCATTATTAACAAACTTAATTCTTTTTATCATGATTTTCTGCTGGTTTTCTAATGAACTAGAAGAATGGAATAAGCTCAAACCATGTTAGGTGATATAACAATAACAAAGTGATTATTTTGGTGTTTCAGTAGCAATAGTATATATATATATATATACATATATATGAGTTGTATGCATAATGTATTGAGTAAGAGTTATAGTCACAAGTGCATATCAACTCAGTTCTAGCCCTTTAAAATAACACTAGTGAAGCCTTACAGAAGAAAAAAAACATTTAAAATCCTGTTGCTATTATTTTCATTGATAATTAAATACAGATAAATATTTAAATTATTGGAGTTATTCTGACTCCTACATCAGTATTCAAAGGATACATTTATTTAGAAAAAAAATATCCCATAGGCAATGTACCTGTTTCCAGAAAAAACTGAATTATAACTGTATTCCAGTATTTGTTTTGTATATTAAAAGCCATTGACCAGAAAAAAATAAATTGCAGAATTGAAGCATTATTACCAGATGTTCCAAACCAAAGTATACCATATATTTATGCCAGCTGATGTTTTTCTTTAAGGTATTTGTAGAGTGCATTTATTCCTCCGTCTATAATTTGTGGCAATGGTTTTGACAAAGGATTATGCAAAATATGGAGTCCCTTATCCAGAGGATTCCAAGCAATTTTGGGCAATCGATTTAGCAAGTAAAGTTCATATGGAAGTGTTTGTATAGCATTGTTATCAACATTTAGCAATTGGAGACTAGTGATTGAGCAGATAGACCTTGGCAATGCATGAATGTTGTTACAGTCAGCAATCAGGATCTGCAGTTTGTTTAGAAACTGGATACTGTCTCCAATGTTTTCAAGTTTGTTGCAGCCTACATGCAAAAAATCCAAATTTCTCAAAGCAAACACACTCATGGGAATATAAACAAACCAATTGTTGCTCAGATTCAGCTTCCTTAAGTTGACTAGTTCTGCAATGCTAGAAGGGAGCCAGGAGATATAATTGTGTGAGAGGCTCAAAATTTCCAACTTCTTACAGTGTCCAAGCTCCAATGGGACTTCAGTCAAGCAATTCATATTGGCGAACAAAACCTTCAGATTCCTAAGCAGTCCGATCTCTTTAGGCAGGGACTTTATGCGGTTCCCACACAAATTCAGGACTACGAGCTGGTCAAGTTTCCCCAAAGCAGGAGGAAGGGCCACCAGCTGGTTGTGTGAAAGATTCAATTTCTGGACTTGTGGTAGTCCCCATAAAAAGTTAGGTGTCTTTATCATCCCCTTCATGATGAGGTTCAGACTGACATAGTGCAGCCCCCGCTTTAACAGTGTTTTGGGATCTTTTCCAGAAAGTAGAGTTTCTTCCCAAAGAGGTAGCTTCTGACTTCTCCTTAGTGGCATTGTGCTTTCTTCTCCTTGATCCTTGGAGTTCTTTCCCCCCATAATTTTTTACTCTTTTGCTGCTTCTTCTGACCCAAATTTTGTTTTGTAGCTGCCAACAATTAACACCTGGTTAAATGGCTGAGGTTTCAGAAGACTCCTGCAAGAAGAGCAAGCCAAAAAGGTATGCATCCCATAAGAAGAAGACTTTGCATCCTAAATTACTTCTGCAACCAAGAAAAGAATATCCCCTTTTCCAAAATGGGCTTTGAGATGTTTGTCTTGATGCTACATGCTATCATGACATGCTTGATACTGACAATCCTGTTCCATTCAAAGTGAATGCTGCCAGGCAGCTGTCACTGTCATTTTGTCTAGGGCTTTATTGGATAGATAAGCATCCTCATTGCAAAGAGGTCACTCCAATGCTTTATATAACTTTACCATGTCAGCTTTCTTGAATATTTGGTGTATGAGGTAGCAGCAGGACTATTAGGAAGAGTAGCTATAAAAAAAAAACATGGATAGAGGATAATCTCTGCCCCCCCACCTCCTCCCCAATGTTTATTCAGCTGAGGAACGACTTTCCTAGTAACTTTGATCTGCAGTTCCAAATAATAATTACTTTGAATTCTTTCATGGTGTTCTTATTTTGGGGTTCCATAGAAATACATACATGCCACTCAGAATCTACTGAAGTTGAGCAGCCAGTAAATTTAATTAAATCACAATTAAATAAGTAATAATAGTAATGTCCTTGGGAAAAACTTGATACGTAAATAAAAATGACAAATCTAAACATCAGACTGATGGTGTGACAAACCACAATGTATGTTCGCTTACACATACACAAAAGAATACACATTTTGCATTTTTTTAAAAATTGTGAGTTTACAATAAATCATTCTATTTTATACATCCAAAATAGATCTGATTATAGATCTATTTACCTACAAAAGTACAGCATATACTTGTAGTAGTGCTGCTGTTGTTGCTATTGCTTTAAAGACATGCTTTTTTTCTAGCTCTTCTTAGTTTTAACTTGGAATTGGTTAAAAAAGTATAAAATCACCAAGAATGGCCCCAGTCTGTCTGAAAGGAAAAGAACTCCGTTACTCTGTCCTTCCTTTCATTATACTGATATGTTGTGGAATGGCAGCCCAGACAGAATGGATGATGGAGAAGAGGCATTGTGCCCGATGGGCTCCTGCTGTTTACAGTCTATACAACCAGTTTCATAAGTTAAAGAAAATAGGTGCCTTGGGGAGCTGATACCTGGTGGTGAGAGATTTGATAATGAGAAGGTAGCTAAAGAGAGGGAATGGAAAACAATATTTTTCTCCAGTTCAAATTTTAAAAACTTGGTCCTCTCTGAGTTAAGTTTTTTTTAACCCTTTTAGCCCTTTAAAAAAAACCCTTTTTAACCCTTTTAGACTAAGCTTGAAGAATTTTCTCACATTAAAACTCAGCTGGACTGCACAAGTAGAAATACTGGAAGAATCCCGAAAGATACCTAGAAAGCATAGGTATGGTACATGTAAATAAAGGGGACTTCCTTGACTTTCAACTATTTATAACTTTCAATCTTGATAATAAATTTTATGTAAAAATCAAGTCTTTATATGTAAAAATCAGCTAATGAAGATTTATCCATAAATATTAGTGATTATTTTCATCTTCTTCCACCTGTTCTCTTTAGTAGTTTACCTCCTAAGCTGGAAAAGTCAGTCACATTGACTGCAAGAGGCACCAGATGACTGCTTTTGTCTTAATCAGGATTCCTCAGGCACAGGTAGCCAGGTGTTATTCTATGGGGTTCAAGTCCTCTCATAAGAATTGAATTCACAGCCCTTCTCATTTTAGATGACTAAATAAAGTCCAGCAGCTTTGGGAATAACCAGGTGGGTGCAACAGAGAAGGCCACAGTTATCAGAATGGATATACACTCACCTCTCCTTAAACCAAGGGTCTTTAAACTTGGCAAGTTTAAGACTTCAACTCCCAGAATTCCTGAGCTAACATGACTGGAGGAGGAATTCTGGGAGTTGAAGTCCACAAGTCTTAAAGCTGTCAAGTTTGAAGACCCCTGCCTTAAACCCTTGAACACTGAGATGCAGATGTTACATTATGTCATGATCACAGGTATTGGATTTTACATGAGTTCCATCCTTCTTATTGAAGGGGGAGATCTCTAATTTTGCACAATATATACCCTATATGGCATTTGCAGTTACATTGACTATCAGGAGTCATTGCATGACCATATTTGCTCCTATTGGGATTCCTGAAACATCGGTATATAGATGTTACTCTACATTAATCATGCCTAATTTCTTAGTGTTGTGCCCAGAACTGCATACAATATTCAAGATAAAAACTAAGCCACTCAGAATATAATCTCTAGCAACTATGTCCCATGAGAGATTACTGTTGATTTGTATTTTTGTGGATCTGTCACACTACTGACTCATATTCAGTTTGCAATCAATCACTTTTTTTCCCCAGAGAGTGCCTAGTATCCCTTAAGCCTTTGCACTAGCAAAGTCCTGGCAAACTCATGATGTCACTAGTCTTTCTCCAGAACAAAAAGCAGGTAGCAGAAAGTGTATTTGGTCAACCGAGGTAAGTAATGTTTAGATATATGTTCTGTATTGCCAGATTTTGGCAGTGAGTTGGTCAAAAAAAATGGGAGAGCGGGTGCTCTTTTGTACATTGGAATAAGTATGGAAAATTGATTGGCTTCATGTGTTCCGATAACATGACCAATGGATGGAGTTAGCTTAACTCTGTGTTTTAGAGGTTAAACTCTTCCAGTTAATCTTGGGGTGGGGTGGAGGGGTGTAGTTAACTAATGTGATTATTTTTTGATATACTAACAATACAATAGCTTCCAGTTAAGTGTGATGGGAAAGTCCTGTGTTTCTTAAAGTTGAGGCTTCTGCTGTTGAATGCAACTTTATCACAGCAGTTAGTGCAAGAGTGATTCTAGAAAAAGAGCTGAAAAGTCAGCCTGGTTAAACAGAAAGAAAATCAGTAGCAGCAGCTAGAGTATATTTAGACATATTTTCTAGACTATGCTATCAAGTAAGATGTTGGATTAAAAAAGACATATGGCATAATTCTGCAAAACTTTACCTGTATGTTTAGCCAAAATGAACCATGCTTTAAATTTTGGTGAATCATATTTTAGTCCTGATTCTAAAAGTCAGATTTGATACTATCAAATATCTACTATTAAGTAACCGTAGCTCAGATGTCTTTACTTCCCAATTGCTATTACATTCTTACAACAAAACAGAAACCATTCTAAGCTAAAAATCTCTGCTCCTAGAGTTTAAAGAGACAACAATATAGGAAAATTTTATAATCAGTAGCCTAGCAAAGCTTACCTTAATATATGGAGAAAACCATCTATATTTCAGAAGAGAATTTTGGAAGCAGGTTCCATTGACTGGCAGATTCAAAAGCTTTGGCCTTGCCTGCTCAGCTAGGGCACTTGGAACTGGCATGTAACAGGCTTGTGTGCCAACTACATACCTTCTTGTGAATAAGAACTTGATTTATACTCCTTGACCTCTTGACAGCTGCAGAATAAAAGGTGCACAAAGATTACACATTCTATTAATGTTAGTCTTTCACACAAAATGATAGACACATAACTCTGTATCACTGGAATCTACTTGTGCTGTTGTGTTTATAAATACTCTTTTGCAAGTACACAGAAACACATAGGACTTGCTTTTGCTTGTATCAACCTTAGCTGAACTGGGCAGAGTAATATAAATGGATCTATGTGCTCTGAATTATTTGGAAATGTAAATAAAAAAGTGCTTCTGATCTTTTGTTTTAAAATGGCAACACGATTTTCTCTTTTTATTATTTTCTATTTTTATCCATCAGTCTGAAACTCCTTTGGTATTGATTGCATGCTTTTTGTCTTGAAAATGCCCAGGATATGTTTTCTTTGGGATTTCACTGAATTATGGGAAGGAAAATAACAGCAGACTAGTACGAGAATGATGGCACATGAAAGACAGGTCTCATGAATACTTTTATGAGCTCACAACTAGAATAAGTTCAAGAATTTGGCATCCCATCATGAGAATTGTCAAAAAAGGCAGAATAATGTTTTAGCAGAGTGCTGTAATATACTGTATTTCTAAACCAATTTATATTATCTTCCTGCCCTCTAGATGTTTTGAGAATATAATTCAGAATTCTGAGCTAACATGGTTATTTTGGTCTGGCAACCTGTAATCTGAGGATTAGTCTGGAAATGGAATGTTTTTTCCCCCTGCATTGAATTAAACCTATACAGAATGTACCAGTTTGATTTTCCGGAGTAATTTCTATAGTTGCTAAAATTATAAGACATAAACCTGTACATATATAGACATATATACTTTCACTGTATTATCTGTATGTGTATATGTGTATAGTCTATCCATCTCACAAAGCAACGAGATAAAAATTTTGATATGCCCATCAGTTTAATAATTGTGTTTGTCTGACTGGAAGGGAATGCACACATACAATTCATTTTAGTTATAGACCAATATTTAATTTATAATTTCTTAAGAGAAAAATACTATTTGATACAAACTTAGAAGAGCTAGGACAAAAGCTATTTACTTGCTCTGTATTGGACATTTGCCTGACCAGATGGTTATCATGTCATACTGCATATTGTATTTAAAAATTATATTAGTTTGAAAGGCAATTTGCAATATGGCATGAAGACAACTATTTTTTTAAACAAACAAACATACATAGTTTCTCTTATTCATGCAACTTAAAGTTGTTTTTTTTTTTAACCAAACAATAAAAATTATAGCCTTAAGACCCTCTGCCCTCACCTTACAACAGAAGTGACCATTCAAAGTTACAATGGCACTGAATGTTTTTATACTTATCACTGTTGCAGCATTCCTATGGTCACATGATCTAAATTCAGAACCATGGCAACTAACTCACTAGTGGTATCCCAGGGCCATGTTAACACCTTTTGTCACCTTCAGACAAGCAAAGTAAATGGGAAATCCAGATTCACTTAATAACCGCATTACTAACTTAACTGCAGTGATTCACTAACTGTGGCAAGAAAGGTCATAAAATGGGACAAAATCCAGTTAAGAAATGCCTTGCTTAGCAATACAAATTTTAGGCTCAATTGTGGTCATAAATTTAAAACTACCTGTATTACCCTGTTCATCTATACTTTTATTTTGGAAGTGGGATTTTATACATACATACATACATACATACATACATACATACATACATACATTCATACCATGTTTCTCATATAATAAGGCCGGGTCTTATTTTTTTTTGAGCCCAGAAAAAATGGCTAGACCATTTTTTCGGGGGTGACTTAATTTCCCCCTCTTGCATCCTCAGGCGGGCGGGCAGCGACGGCTTGGATGCTGACCTCAGCATTGCTGGAGCACTTCGTTTCGGGAGACCTTCTGCCACCATTGCTTTCCTTTCTCTCCATGCCGCCACAGCCTTTGGAGAATCGCCGCAGCGTTTGGCACCAGCCACACGGGGCTGGCCAGGGCTCCTCCCTGCAACCGGAGCCTGGTGGAGACACTTGGCTTCAGGCGCTGCATTCCTGGGAATCATTCGAAGGCAAGCCCATTATTTTAAAAATGACCCCCTACCACAACAAAGCCTCCCCTGCCCAAGAGGGCAGCCCAACCCCACGTGGGGAGGTGAATCTCCCAGGGCCGCAGCGCAGAATTGGGCCACCCCAGGACCACTCTGCGGCAGAGCTCTGGCCAAAGAGCGAGCACCTCCCCGCCGGGCCCTCCGCTCATCCTGCCAGGGCCATGCCAGAGCTGGGTGGGTTGGGCAGAGCCGGGAAAGCGAGCCACAGGTGTGCGCCTGCCTGCCAAGTGAAAGAGCTGGGCCGACCCGAACTTGGCATCCCAAGTCCCTCCAGCCTGACCCCAAAGGGTCTCCACCGGGAGAGGCCGCCCAAGGCAGTGATAGCACCCACGCATCCATGGACAGGGAGGCAAGGCGATGGCCCGTGCCATGTCCTCCTCCGAACTGAGCCCCGCCGAGTGAGCGCCTCTGCCCAATGCCTGTGCCGCTGCAGCGTTTGGAGCTGCCGGCGCATTTGGAGATGCATGTGGACGGGGATGGGCTTGGAGAGGGGTAGAAAGGACAGGCGGCTTTGGGCTTTCTCCACCGGACCCGCCGGCCAGGGAAGCAGCACTGACCCACCTGGCGCTGGGTGCCCCAGGCGAAACTCTTCATGCTCTACCCAGCACCAGGCAGGGATGGCAGCTGGGTGCTTCTCCCGGGGTGGGCCGATCTTGTGCTGCGGCCCCAGGAGATTCACCTCCCCACGTGGGGTTGGGCTGCCCTCTCAGGCAGGGGAGGCTTTGTCGTAGTAGGGTGTCATTTTTGAAAGAATGGGCTTTGCCTTTGAATGATGCCCGGGAAGGCGGCGACAGGAGCACCTGAAGCCAAGTGTCTCTGTTGGGCTCTGGTTGCAGGGAGGAGCCCTGGCCGGTCGCATGTGGCTGCACCAAATGCTGAGGCGTTGCTGGAAACGCCGTGGCAGCACGGGGAGAAGGGAAAGCAACAGTGGCAGAAGGTCTCCCGATACAAAGTGCCCCACCAACGCTGAGGTCAATGCAGGCAGGACCATATCCAGATGTGCAGCAAAAGTACTTGGTGACAGTAGGGAGGTTGGAGGTGAGGCATGCGGGGCGCTCCTAACAGCAAGCCCCTACCATTCCCCCCCATTTCGCATGTTTTAATATAGGCCTTAATTTGGGGGGGAGGGGTTAATTTTATTTTATGCCTATAAAACATGCTGGGACTTTTTATTGGGGGAGGCCGTATTGTTGGAGAAACACGGTACATACATACATATGTACACGCATGCATATATATATATATATATATATATATATATATATATATATATATGTATATATACACACACATACGCATATATATACACATACGCGTGCACATGCACACGCACGCATGCGCGCACGCACACACACACACACACATATAGCCAATATATATATAGCCAATATGTATATAGCCAACATCAGATTAGGAAGATTGCTTACAGTTTACCTTTAAGAAGATTATCAGGATCAATTTCTGTTATAAGGAAGTCTAGGAGAAAAACAAAAAATAAGATCAGAACACAGTACAATTTTTAATGAGATGTGTTTTATCAAGCTTCTTTGTAACTCAAAAACAGTTGCCAATATATAAGTCAATGAATCAGGGATGATACTTGGAGGCATCAGTTTTGCATCTCATTGTAATTTATATCCAGTAAAGATTAATATATCTTGTATAAGATGTAGCTGCAAGGACCTTCCATATTCTAGTCCCTTCTAGATGTGTTGACTCACATCTTCCAACTACCTAGCCATGTTGGCAGGGGTTGATATAAGATGAAGTCAAAATTATTCAGGGGGCAATGGTTTAGTTAAAGCTGACCTAATACTCCATAAGAAATCTTCCTTCTGACATTCATTTTCTTTGTATTCTGTTTTTCCTCTAAGAATGTGGCTTCCTTTCTTACTTCATCCCTGCCCCCTTCTTTTTCAATCACCAACTAGATGGCACTCTCATTTCCCATTTTATCAATGCAAGAAAATCCTATCAAATATTGGGATTCATAATGAGAAATAATGATTAGCTGGAAGTCAGTCCAGTAAATTTCTACGGTAGGGCTGTAGGAAAAGTTGAAGAAAAAGACCAGGTGTATGGGTGATGATAAGACTTAGCTGACATCTAGTGGCTATCTAAAGTTTTTCAGCCTTGATCTGGTAGCCTAGGTTTTATTTATCATAAACCAACATTACAATCATCATTTCACACTGATTATTTTTTATTAATAGATCTTCATCTGAAAGATCTCTATGGTTTATCTTTTAACAATGCACTATAGGAAGAGAAAGATATTTCAATATTTGGGGATCAGGTTACAGTACAGTAGCAACAATGATGGTTTTCAGTTCCAATGAAAGCAATTTTATTCTAAAGCGCAAGTCAATCCAATTAACATACAGAAACAACTCAACCCACAAAAGGACAAACTCCTCTTTATCAAAGACACCTTAGATATACTAGCAGGTCCTCCAGTTTGAAGTAACCGTGGCATAAAAACCCACAAAGTCCATCCAAAGCACCCTAAGTAAACGCAAAGACCCAGTATCACAGCAGTCATCTATTAAATAAAATGAAAACACTGCTACATGGAATATAGGTAAACAAAAAAAAGACTAGCAGAATGTATTCACAAGCATCAACTAATGGTCAAAAACATAGCATAACTTCCAGAGAAATTATTCTCCAGATAATCTTGAGCATAATTTCAGAAGGGAAATTGGAAATAATAGCATAAGCTAGATTGAGAAATGCAAGAGAATTCTTAGAAGCAAAGTATTCTGATTAAATAGTGATTAGACATATCACTCCAACTCTCTCTACAGACCGATCAAAAGACATAACCAAAGACCCATCAGCTCAGTGCAGAACCTCCTATC